AAAAACCACAATGAGATGACAACCACAAGAATGGCTATAATAATTTTTTTTTTTTTTTTAATGGAAGAGAGAAATGTTGGTAAGGATGCAGAGAAACTGTAATACATTGCTGGTCTCATACACTGCTGGTAGAAAGTAAAATGGTACAGTAGGTGTGGAAAAGTGTGGAGGCTCCCCAACACATCAAACACAGAATTACCACAGATACTCCACTCCTAGGTATATACCCAAGAGAAAACCGGTGTTCAAGCAACGTCTCGTACATGAATGTTCATAGCACACTACCCACAAGAGCCAAAAGGTGAGAACAGGCCAAATTTCCATCAGCTGATGAACTGATAGATAAAAAGTGGTTATTCACATAATGGTATAATATTCAATCACAAGAAGAATGAAGTTCAGATATCTGCTACAACATGGTTATACTTTGAGAACATCGGCCAGGCGTGGTGGCTCACACCTGCAATCCCAGCACTTTGGGAAGCCAAGGTGGGTGGCCAGGAGTTGAAAACCATCAGCCTGGCCAACATGGTGAAACCTCGCCTCTATTAAAAATACAAAAATTTGCCTAGTGCCACATGCCTGTAGTCCCAGCTATTTGGTAGGCTAAGGCAGGAGAACAGACTGAACCTGGGAGGTGGATGCTGCAGTGAGCCGAGATCCCACCACCGCACTCCAGTCTGGGGCAACAGAGTAAAACCCCATCTCAAAAAAAAAAAAAAAAGATAAGATTATGCTAAAGAAAAAGTAAGACACAAAAGACCACATTTTGTATGATCCCATTTATACAAAATGTCAAGAATAGAGCCAGCCATGGTGGCTCACAGCTATAATACCAGCACTTTGGAAAGCTAAGGCAGGAGGATTGCCTGAGCCCAGGAGTTCAAGACCAGCCCGGGCAACATAGCAAGACCCTGTCTCTACAAAAACATACACAAATTAGCTGGGCGTGGTGGTGCACACCTGTGGTCCCAGCTACTCAGGGTCATGCCACACTGCACTATAGCCTGGGTGATGGAGGGAGACACTGTTCAAAAATCACCCCCACAAAAAGAGGAGACACACCCATAGAGACAGAATGATTAGTGGCTGCCAAGGTTTTCAGGAGGGAGGAATGGGGAGTGACCACTTAATGACTATGGGGCTTATTTGTGGCATGACAACTATGCTCTGTAATTAGTGGTGGTGGTTGTACACTGTGAACATATGAAAAGCCACTGAATTGGACACTTAAAAAAAAATAGTTTAAATGGTGACTTTTCTGTCCTGTGAATGTTACCTCAATTTAAAAAAAAGAAAAAAAGGCTTACCTCCTGAGTCATTAAATAAATGCAGGAATGGCATCAGGCTTACCCAGTGAGGAAGACAGGTTCCAGAAATTCTCCAGCATCACGTTCCTGTATAGCATCCTTTGGGCAGGGGCCAGCAACGCCCACTCCTCCTGGGTGAACTCCACGGCCACATCCTCGAAGGTCACCAACCCCTAAAGCATCGCAAACATCACAGTTTAGCCGAGGACCACCCTCACCAACTGCACAGGAAGAGGGCCCAGGAGAACAGAGCCAGGGCTGGGGAAACCTGAGCACGAGATGTGGGGCGGGTTCTGAGCTCCTCTCCCTGGCTTCCAGGCTCAGCCCTCAATGCTCGACTCCTTAGGCCACTCCTCAGGTTTAATGCACAGTACCCCAGAGCAACTGTCTTTTCTCTCTCAGACTGGGGGCTCCTGTGATCTTATTCTCTCAGTCTCCAGGGGAGCATGGGCCCGGGACATGGCAGAAATCAGAGGAATACTTGGCAAGTGAATGAACGATTTCCGTATGGCTTTTATAAACTGCTTGGTCTTGGAACATCGTTACACCTTTACTTGGCTTTCCCTTAAAACTCTCAGGAGCACATGATGTACACAGGGACCCTGGAGAAAGCTTTGAACCTGCAGTAACCATCCACACACACTGACATTTTCTGGGCAGCCCTCCCCCTCCATCAGATGCCTGGAAATCCTGGGATGCCTCAGGAGCCAGTTTGGCTGCGAGGCTCCAGGCTGCTGGGAGGTATCAAATCCAACCTTCTGGCTAAAGAAATAACGATTTGTGAAAAGGAGAATCCAACTCACCTGTAGCCAGCTTGTCAGGAGCTCATTAACCAGCCCTCCGCCTTCTGTGTGTCCTTTTTGCTGAGAGGCTGGGAACGGGAAAGATGCAGCTGGAGGAGGAGAAATGAGTCCCAGGGATTCAGGCCTAACGCCCACATATCTGCCTGTGACTGACCATATCCCCCTCCTATACCCACACAGCACCTACCTACACCCCCTGCAAACACCTACTCACAGCTCTCCTAAGACACCCAAACAGCCGTCTCCCCAACAAAAGGTAACAGGGCTCAAGGTCTGACTGCACTTGGGGAAGAGATTATTCACACTTCACAGATGAGGAAACAGATTCCATGGACATCACTGTGTTTTTATCAGGTTCACAGAAAGAAATAAAGGGAGAATTCAAAAGCTCCAGCACATTCACTACACAGGTCACATCCACAGACACCCAAACACCTAAGTCCCAAATCCCAAGAGCCACCCGATTGGACACGGAGGACCTCTGGGCCCCTGGGGCTCCACTCCTGCCTCACCTGCTCTGCCCAGCCCCCTCCCTTCCCAGGCTGAGGGTCAGAGCCTTTCAAGCCTGAGAAATGCCAAGACCCCACGACTCGCCACCGGTGGCGGTTAGGACAAGGGCCGCCATCCTGTGACTCGCACAGCAACAGGGCAGCCGGGAGGCAGGACACGCCTCCCTTCTTCCCAAAGCACTCTCAGGACGGTGCTCTGGAAGAAATGGGACACTCCAAGTCCCCACAGCCTCCTCCCTCTTGAGCTGCTGGGGACAGGCCCTCCTCAGTTCATTCTTCCCGTCCTTCTTCAAATACAAGTTCTGGCTTCCACATTGAGCCTTTATTTTGCTAAGCAGATGAATTTAGGGCCACCTAATGGCAAAACTTGCCTTCCTCTGTCCCCAACACAATGACCAATCTGTCCCTGGCTCCATACCCCTTGAGAACCTAGGCTTCGCGGAGTCTCATTGCACATTCCGCTTGTCCAGGTGCGGTCAGTAATGTGTTCCCTGCCACGCCCTCCTTCCTTGGGTACTCCAGCACCTGCCTCCATCACTCCTCCCACCTCCAATCCCAGGTCCCGCATGACGTCAGAGACCCCCCAGAGTCTCAGGGGTTCCTCAGCTCTGCGGCCCTCTGCCCTCACACCCCTTGGCCACACATTTCCACAGGTACACTCAGCCTCCATCATCGCCGGGCACTGTCCCACCATCTAGAACACTGCTCACAAACTCCCCTCTGAACCCAATCTCCCTCCTCAACTTCCACTGCGTTCACTCATTTTTCTCTCACCGTGTGTCCTGTGACCACAAGCAGGCCTCGGCGACCCCCTCTCCTGCCCATCCACTGCCTCGGCCACACCCTCTCCTGCCCGTGCCCTGCCTCCGTCACCCCCTCTCCTGCCCGTGCCCTGCCTCCG